CCCAGCCACTTCCAGGATCTTCTTCAGCCCTGTAGGAAAACAATGAGTCTCTAATTGATATGCAGTGATAACAGATAACATCAGTTATAAATTTTCTAAAATAGAAAAATGAACAAAATAAACATGCATCTTTGTGTCATGGTAATGCATGCCTTGGTATCCACCATGGTTTAATAAAATATTTGCCTACATGTAGGATGTGTTTCATACCCTGGTCTACCACCCATAACGTGAGGGAGTTATCTGGGTTTTTCAAGGATTTGCGGGGTACTTGTTTGACAAGGAGATTTATAGCGCTGTCTCTGCCCGGCCCTGACACATTTGATGCTGGCATCATTTCCAAAAGGTGTCGTAACATTGACCGCAGCTCCTTGGATGGTTCTGTGTTAAGATTCATAAAGTGAGTAACAATTAAATGTAAAGAACACAGAGCCGACACACACAAAACATTTGCTAAAGGTTAACCTTCAGTGTAACAAAGTTCCCAATATAAGTGTCTAAACTCACCAGGAAGTATAGCTTCATCTTTTCCTCTGATCTCTCTTTTCATTCCTTCTGTCAGAGCTTCAAACATCACCTGTAGCAGATGGCAGGCAGCCAGAGACACACTTGAAGCTCCTGATCCCATTACCGCACACAGCTGCTCCATTCCCAACTCATTCACTATCGCCATAGTCTGGAAATTCAAAGAATGGACATCAGCAATAACGAACTGCAAAACAACTGAGTGACAAGCACATTGAACAGCCTGCTCTAGCTTCACATTAATGATGGATGGAAATCAGAATGCATATAAACCTTTTTTTTATAACTACAAAAATACAAAAAGTGACCTTAAAGATGAAGCAAATAGTAATCTCAAAGGAACAGTCACACTTACTCTAGACTGATGTCCTGTGCACAAACCAACCAATGTCCTGAGAGCAGAAAGTACAACATCCTCCAGCTTTGACTGCAGAAGTTTCTGAATTAGCTTCACTCCATCATTACGGAAGATCTGTTCAGCTCCTGCTTCATCTCGAGATAGCACCACTAGATTCTGAGCAGCCTGAAATTGATTGAAGGATTTGATTATTTTGGTGCCGTACAGTTTTACAGACGCATTAGCATTAATGAAGAAAAACCAGGCGCATCAAGAATGAATTAGAGGAATGTATTCATCTGCCTTTTGAGTTATTCTCACCTTCTGTCGATCGCACTCTTTAGTAGATGGATCTAAGAGGAGGGAGAACATCTGCTGCACACGAGCATCGGTGGAGTTTAGTTGCGCTGACTAAAGGGTTAAGAGAAATGATTTCAATTAGCAAGATACAATTTAGAAAATAAGTTTATCCACACCTTTATCCACATCACACCACCTTCTGCTGAATCTGTGCTCCCAGCTGTCTGAGCAGATCCTGGAAAGCTTTATTTTTGGGCTCCAGTTGGGCACATCTCTGAGCATCCAGAAAGGCCTGATCAAACCGGCCAAGTTTCTGAAATGCCTGGGCCCTCCGAAATCTGGCTTTCACATCACCTTGGTCAGTATCGAGTGCTGAAAAGAGACAATAATAATATTCATCAAAGCTGCAAAAGCATCTGTGTAAAGACACATTTCATGCAACAATGTCCAGAATGCTGAAAATCACAAGTTGTGAATAATGTTATCCATTATAAAAAAATATTTCTGCTGTAACTATTGCTCAATAAGAATGCTTTGGTCTATAATACCTACCTAATAACTAAAGGTTTGTTTTTGTTAAGACAACATAATAATACTGGTGACATATATACCATTATAATTATGTTGTCCATTGTTTGTTTAATTATTGTAATGCAGGAAAAGATGCTTGTATGTAATTGGCGTCATCACACTGTTTGGCCAGCAGGGCGCATTCAAACTCCATTGTTCACAATACTCTCAGTTTGCACCACATGTAGCAGAGTATCAATCAAGTAGTGTCTTCACAGTAAGTAAGAAAAGTCAATAAACACTTTCACTTTTTCAATATAACTTAAATATAATCTAGATATACCATAACATTAAAACCACTGGTTTAGGTGTCCCATTACTACCAAAACAGTTGCTAGGTCATGGTCACAGGATGCCTGGTGAAGTTTTGCTGTCTGGTACTGGGATATTGGCAGCATAATCCTTTCTTGGTACTGTGGATTGCAGCGTGAGTGCCTTCATGTATTCGTGTTGTTCCACTCAATCATGTGACAGGTTTGGATGTGGGCAGTTTGAAAGCTGGACCAGTGCCTTTGGCTCTTTATCTATCTAGCAATTTAAATCTATATGTATAAAGAAAAAATATACACAGTATGAGTCAGATGAGCTGATCTGTAGAAAATTGTCAGATTAGTAGCTCAGTTTAAAGTTGTCATGCTTCTTTTGTTTCTTTTCTATTTTTTAGCATGAATGAATGAAATATAAGGCCATCTGTGCGTATATATGCTTGTGTGTTATGCGCATAGATTCATTTGTATGTATTTACAGAGGTATTGCAAATTACCTTATTGTTAACTACTCATATACACAAAGTACAGGTTGATAAGATATTTCTGCACCTTTTTTGTTTGCCTTGATATGAATGTGGAATTTATTACGATTTTACATATTCTAACCCATACATCGTAATATAAGTGCACTTTGCAACCTCTGTGCCTTTCTCTTGTCTTTTATAGATTACTCCTGTTTATTATTTATTCCTGTTGTCTTACTATTTATATTTGTTTCCTGCATAGTTGATGTGGAGCACCCACAATTTCATTGTACATGTACAATGACAATAAATGGCTATTCAAACGTGTACATGGCGAAGTTCCAGGAGGATCACTGTTATCATTATGGTCATTGTGCAAGTGTACCCTTTATATGGTTGGACAGGATCCAAAAACCTCCCAGCAGGAAGTTACTTTTATCCATAATTGTTAATGTGACTGGCGAATACGGATAAAAAGAACACAAGCCAATATTCATATTGTGAAACTATTTGGATGATGAATGAACTTTAAACCGCGTAAAATGGGGCTAATTTGAGCACTAATACGGACTATTTTCTTTCATTTCAGCTAAGTGGGTCGCGATGAAAGAGAAGTTATTCAGTGATGTTGAGAATAAACAAGAGAACATACCGACCTTTCGAGGCATCAGCCTCTGCCTTGCTGTACTCCTCCAGCTTAAGGTAGCACGCAGAGCGGTTACGGTACAGTACAGCTTTGTCTGCCTGGCTGTCAGTCAGCTTCAGTGCTTTGGTGTAACAGCAAACAGCACCCTGCATGTCTCCTGCCTTGAAAAGAGTGTTTCCCTCCTCTTTCAGGGCGGCGGGGTCCTAAAGTAAAGACCGGGGGAAAGGTAGCAACGGGATCACAGAGAAACTTCGATCAAATGTATTTGAGTGAAATTAGCTAAGCTAGCGAAAAGTAGCGAATTGTTTCTACATTACCTTTTCTTTTTCAGTCTCACTCATCTTTAAGGTGTCGCACACAGTATAATGCAAATATGTAGATTTATTTTACTATACGTGGTCGCAAACACCGCTAACTCCAGCCAAACATGTTACATCTTTCTACACTTCCGGGTGTCGGAGCACGTTGATGACGTGCACCGCCCCTCTCGCCCACGCTGTATTACCATAAAAGGAAGAGAACAGCTACAACGTTTCTGCCTCCATCTCCACTTTATTTGGTTATATTTCCATTCCATGTGGCTTTCTTCAGTCCATGCAGACACAGAGAGTTATATCAGGCTACTTATGTCATAAAGAGGGGTTGTGAAAGCCAGCAGTTCATTTCTTTCATACATTCACCATATCTGTCTGAGAACTGTAATAAAGCAATATAGAACTATATTTTTTAAAAGGAATTACACGATAAGAACATTTGGGTTGTTAGATTGTGGGAAAATCACTCGTCTGACTGGGTTGTTCTCCACTCGCCACGTTTTGTAAATGTAACCACAAATGCTCAAAGTTATTGAATCAATAGAGCAGCTTTAAATTATATATTTTTAAGAATTCATTTATGTGAAGTTTTAACATAAATGTTATGATTTTTGTCATTATTGCCTTTAAAAAAAAAAAAGAAACTAGTTATTTTTGATTAACTGTATAAGTGTATGCGTAAGTCTGATTAACTAAGTACCACTCAAAGATAAATTGATCTTTTACTGTAATTATTTCTAATTTTTTAGCACTGATAAATGTCAGTAACTTAGATAAGTATCCTATGTATGATGCAGGACAATGTTAAACATCTTAACCTGGTTCGGGAACAGCACCATGCAGGACAGACGAGCTCTACAGAGGGTTGTGCGTTCAGCTGAGCGCACCATCCGCTCAGAGCTCCCTGAC